GGGCAGAGAGAAACAGAACAGAGAAGAAAAGATGACGCAGAGACAGAGAGAGGACAAGGACAGGACAGGAGAGAGAGAGCAGAGAGATGGAGAGAAGAAACAGAGAACAGGGAGAGAGACAGAGACAGAGAGAGACAGAGACAGACAGAGAGAGAGACAGAGAGAGAGACAGGGAGAGACAGAGACTGAGACAGAGAGACAGAGAGAGACAGAGAGACATCTCTGCCCTCCTCCCTGGGAAAAATCAGAAGTGACATCAAGGCGGCTGCTTTCTGAGCTCTCCCCTCTCTCTCCCCTGTCTCTCCACACCCAGCCAAGACCAGACTACAGTTTTCCATCCTTTTTTTATAAAACAAACCAGCGAAACTGTGCGTGTCAGCAGAACTGCGTTCTCCCTTACAGAGCGGGCGGGGTCGGGGCGGGGTTGGGGCGGGGAGCCGGGCTGAGGCCGCGCAGAGCCGGCGGGCATGTGGGCCTCTCTCAGCGGCCGGGGGCTGCACGGTGGGCATGATGACCCTGAGATTGCAAAAACGGGGCGCTCCGCCTGTTCACCGCTCGCTCTTGGGCCTCAGGGCCGCGGGGCGTCCTGCCCAGCCCCAGCCGGGGAAGGGTGTCACTGTGACCGGGTTCTTCTGCTCTGGGCCCCGGCTTGTGCGGTTTGGGTGTGGCGTGCTTTGCCGTGAGACGCCCCTTTGAGGTTTTTCACACCTTTTTTTTTTTTTTTTTTTTGCAGGAGACACCCGGGGCCCACACAGAGAACGCAAGGCAAGCTCATCGGGGCCCCTTCTGGCTCGGGGTTTCTCATCCCGGGTGCCGCTGCGTCAGCTTGCTTTCTAGGTTTCGCCCTAGGGACAGCCAGGAGAAGCCCACGGCGGCGTCCCCGTGTCCTTCCACGGAAATCCCGGGTCTCCCCGGTGGTCTGCATGTTTTGGGATGTCCCTGCGCCCCCGAGGATAGGTTTCCCCGGCGGGTCTGCAGGGCGGCTTGGAAAGCTCGCCCCAAGGTGGCTGTTAGTCTCCGGAGACACACGGACATTCAGGATGGGCCGGGTGACACGCCAGCTGTCCGCCTGCAACCGCCACCGGCCACAAAGGCCACTGAGGCAAAGGCGGGAACGTCAGCTCGATTTCCAGGAGCCCGAGCGGCGAGGGAGCCTTTTGCAGAAGGCTGCGGGCCTGCGAGAGTGGTCTACAAGCCCATCTGCGGCGCCCGTTTCCCGGGGACCCGTGTCTTTCCGGGAAGACGCGGGAAGCATCAGACAACGCCGGGCTCTCTGGCATGGGGACCCCGGACACCTTCGCAGCGGACTGGCCCGTGCATGTTTGCAGGGATGGTGGACAGAACCGGCCAGCGGTCTTTGCGGAGTGGTAGGAGAGACAGGCAGCGACTTCCAGGCGAGGGAAGAACCGGAGAGGGACATCGTCGTCTCAAACGCAGCGAGTCACACCCGTGGACGCCCGAGGCTGCGTGTAAGCCCCACGTTCCTCCCGCCGCTGTCCATGAGGTCTTGGCTCTGAGGGGCAGGAGCTCCGGGTGGGACACGGGCCACCTCCGTGCACGCAGGCCCCGGGGAACCTCACAGTTTCCACACGTGGAGCTAAGACGAGGATGGCAGTCGCCGTGTGCGGTTTACGGGTCGGTTGCACAATGAATGCCGGCGTGACGGCGTGTGCCAAGCCATCGGCTTTGGGACTCTTTGGTGCCGCCGGCCAGGACGTCACCCACCTGGTCTGGGATTCCACCGGGGGCTCCCGAGCTCGGCGTTTACTCGGAGAGTGACCAACGGCCGACCCCATGAGCATCTGGATTTCTCGTCCTCACCTGAGTCACGTGGCCACCTCTGAGAGACTGGGTCCCACAGGAAGCAGCTCCGAGGAACCCCGAGCCAGGCAAGGTCAGCCTTCCGGAATTGCCCACGCAGACACCAGCATGTCCTACCTGCCGTGTTGCAACCCCGGCACCCCAGAGCATGTCTTAAACGTGCACACGCGCTTTCAGGGGCTGCCGAAACACATTTCCACAAACCGGGGGACCTAACACCAGGGAACGTGTCCCCTCCCAGTCCCGGAGCCCCGGTGTGTGGGACGCGGGAGTCTCGGGGCCGAGATCCCTGCACGGGCTCCAGGGGAGGCTCCTTCTCGCCTCTCCCGGCTCCCGGGGGCTCCAGGCGTCCCTGGGCTTGTGGCCGCAGCCTCACTCCCGCCTCTGCCTCCTCCGTCTGCCTCCACGTGGCTTCTCCTCCGCGTCTGTGTCTCCTTTTGGGACCAGGATTTGCATCCTGGCCCACCCTGAATGCACGATGACTGCACCTTAATTAATTGCATCTATAAAGACCCTATTTCCAAATACAGTCCCATTCTGAGGTTTATTTTGGGGGGGGAGACACCAAAGCCAACATATCTCCGTTTTTCCCCCAGAGTACGGATGGCAGGGCACAGGGGTCTCTCACAGTCAGCAACTTACTGCCCCCGTCAGCAACCCAAACCCAGGGGAGGGGCAGGCAGACTTCCTGAAGCCACCGAATCCTGGACATTCAGCTGCCCCGGCTGACGGTCGCCTCTCCCCCGGCAGCCTCCAGCCTGGCCTCTCTCTCCCCCAAAGCAGCCTGGCCTCCAACTCCCCATGGGATCTGCAAAGGGCCGCAAACCTCACGCCGCCGCTGTTTCAGCCCAACCCCCAGCTCCTCAGAACCCGCGGTCTTGGCTTCTCAGAGGCCCGGGGAGTGGAGTGGGGGTCTCCTCTTGTCCCCAAACCAGTGCAGGCCCGTCCCAGGCACCGGAGAAAAGACAGAGACCCCCCCTCCCACACACACCACCCCAGAGGCACCGCGGTTGGGAGGCAGGCAGTCCTGCAAGTGTGTGGGGTCCACACCTTCAGTGGGTGCCAGGCCCCAGTCTCCGGGGACAGGCCAGGGGCAGCTGGTGGTGAAGCAACCTCAGACCGTGGAAAGACCCCGGGGAGGGGGTGACTTGCAGTGGGTCGAGGCTCCCGGTGCAGAAGGCAAGCTGCAGAGACAGCCGGAGGGACACCCTCTAGGCAGGCTGCACCCCAACATATCTCACGGAGCCATCCTCTACACAGCTGGGCCTCCCATTCTCAGTCAAGGGGTGTGGGGAGGAGCATAGCAGGTTCTGGGGTCCCCACCTGATGTCCTTTCCAGCTGGGGGGTCCCCAAGAGTGGCACCCAAGTAGAAAAGGAATCCACCCCTAAGCCCGACCACGACAGCTGTGCCGCCGGAGGGGGTCCCAGGGGACTTCGGGGAGACCCCTGAGCGCGCAGAGTCACCGAGGACGCCATAGCCGAAACAGCAGCGTGTCCTTGTTCCTCTGGGATAACGGCAGCCACAGCGCGCACGGTGGCCGGGAGCAGAGCGCACGTGGATTGCGGCATGCGCCCCCGCGGGCCGGGGGTTGGGGGCGGAGCTGCTGGCGCCCCCAGACCGGAGCTGGCTCCCTGGTGCCAATTCTGCAGGAATTGTGTCACCCACGAGGAGCTGGCAGGAAACAGGCGGCCGCCTAGCGCGCGTATCCAGGAACCAAGTGGGGACACGCGCGGGGCCCCTCGTGGATCCGGAGCGGCGCCGTCCACACCACGCGGAACACCCACGCGACGCGGCCACCGTCTCTCCTGGAAAGCGAATCGGTGCGCGCCGGCTTCTTTGCTTTGCTTCTTTCTCTACCCCGGCTCTGGGAAGCGCGGGGCGCCCTCCCCAAGCGCGCCCTCCCCAAGCGCGCCCTCTCCAAAGGCGCCCAGGTCTCCCGCTGCGCCCCAGCTGACCTCCGGGCGCGCACCCGTGGCTGCCCGTCTCCGCCTGCGCGCGCGCCCGCGCGGCTGTGGGACCCGCCCGCGCTGGGTGGGGCGGCTCAAAACTCGCTCTCGCGCCTCTGGGTGCCCGGCCTGCCCGCCGCCGCCGCCACGTCCCGCCTGTCGTCGTCGTCGTCGGGGGCGCAGGTGGCGGCGGAGCGCGCAGACAGCGTCCGCGCGGCCGAGAAGAGGCTGCTGTCGCGGCGCGCGTCCTGGCCGTGCAGGGCGGGCAGGCGGCCGTACCCCAGGTAGTCGCGCAGGCGCACCTGGAACTCGCGCGACGCGAAGTAGTACACGAAGGGGTCCAGGCAGTTGTTGAGGCAGCTGAGGCACAGCGTGAGCTTGTACACGTGGTAGTAGCTGCGGCCGTAGAACAGGCGGCTCACCATGTGCGCCAGCAGCACGAAGTTGTTGGGCGCGAAGCAGGTGACGAAGGCCAGCAGCACCACGGCGGCCAGGCACACGGAGCGCCGCCGCTGCCCGCGGCTGTGGCCCTCGCCGCCGCGGGCGCGCAGCAGCTTGAGGATGGTGGCCGTGTAGCAGGCCACGGTGACCACGAAGGGGATGAGGAAGAGCAGCACGAAGATGGTGAAGAGGAACACGGCCCACATGGCCACGCTGGGCAGCATGGTCCTCTTGAGCACGTCGAAGCACGTGACGATGCCCAGGTCGCCCACGGCGTAGGTGAGGTCGGTGCGCGCCAGCGGCGACAGCGCGGCCATCAGCAGCAGCCAGGCCCCCGCGCACGCGGCCAGCGCGTAGCGGCGGCGGCGCCAGCGCGCGGCGCTCAGCGGGTACACGACGCCCAGGAAGCGCTCCACGCTGATGCACGTCATGGTCAGGATGCTGGAGTACATGTTGGCGTAGAAGACCACGGTGACCACGTTGCACAGCAGCACGCCGAACACCCAGTGGTGGCCGTTGGCGTGGTAGTGGATCTGGAACGGCAGCACGCCGGCCAGCATGAGGTCCGTGACGCTCAGGTTGATCATGAAGATGACGGACGGGGACTTGGGCCCGATGTGCCGGCACAGCACCCACAGCGAGAACAGGTTGCCCGGGATGCTCACCAACGCCACCAGCGAGTACACGGCCGGCAGCGCCACCGCCACCGCCGGGTCGCGCAGCATCTGCAGCGTCGCGTTGTCCGGGCCCGTCGCGTTCATGTCCATGGTCGCCGCCACGGGAGGCGCGGGACGCGCGCGGGGCCTGGAACACGGGGGGGGG